TTGTTTGGTTGTTTTATATTCTAATACACTACACGGTATGCAAAGTTTTAGGTTAGGTTTGTTTAATTTCGGTTGAGGAAATTTGTACATGTTTTAATAGGTATTTCATATGTCGTAATTTGTTGGAATATTTGATTGTCTTAACGTGTAATAGAAATTATGTTTGACGTTACAGAATTTTTAGGACGATACATTTTAACTTGTAAGGTCGATCCAAACCCAGAGCAACTGAGGATAACACCATGGGGGTTGAAACACGCCTGGCATTATGCATTGTTAATAAATGCTAGTTAGTGATAAACGTGTACAGAAATTTGTATTATGGTTACGTGATATTACACGAATTGAAGGGTATGAAGATCGTGTTAATTTACGGGAATATGTGGTGTGGGATTTTTGTGATATGAATTGAAAGTGGGAAATATTTACATAACAGAATGAAATTCAATTCGAAATCAGAACGCAGTGTGAGATAGAAACATAAAAGCCGTTGGTTTGAAAATCAGTTTATGAACGAGTTGCATGCAAATAATCAGCGTTTTCGCCGCATTCAGTAGTCTGATTTGAAGACAGAGTAATATTTGCCGTCTGCGCCAAGGATAAAACTAGCTCCGATCGAATTTTGTGTTGGAAGATACACACTAACAGTTCTGAGAAAAAATTAGTCCGTGTCGGTCCGTAACAAACCTTAATATCCAAGAAGCTTAAATTTGGGAAAAAATGTTATGTAACTACCGTCTATAGTAGTCCGTAAATCCGATATTAATTGGCTTTAAACAGATGAATTGTTGATGTAATAAATGACTGAAGAGAATTGAAGAAGAAGGACTTCAAACTGCAGACGAACGCCATTAACAGAGATTACACATTTTGATATTGGCTGGAACATCGTTCCATCTCATTTTCTCTTGTTCTGTAATTTCCGCAATCAGCCAGTATATTAACTTCGATAACACAAGACGAATTTGTAGAGTATTTGATAAAACGTTGTTAAATAGGTTCACATTTTGCATTGGAGGAACACGTGCTAATCCTTCCTGAGAGTCAGTTAGGACGCTCACATGGTCAAGGATTTCTCGCCGAGGGTTTGTTACCACATTCACAAGAGCTCGCCAGTGCCTGCTGTCATGTGCGCCATTCGATTATAATTTTTCCAACCCCCTGTTTCTTCCTCTCCCTGTAGTCGAAGCATTTATTTCCCTCAACAAATTCTGCGTTTTTTGTCTTCAAATCTTTGTGTGGGACGTGGTAATAAATAATTTGTTCTCTTAATGAAAATTCCGCAGAATTTATTCTTGTATATGATACGAAGTTTACAGTCGACTCGAAGTTTCAGCATTGCCTTAGGCAGTTTTAGAAGGATCTGGTTATTATATGCAGCGTTTGCAACTTACAGAACCAGCACAAACTCATTTTAGAAGCAGATTACCGAAACAATATTTAACGGTATAGTGTTTTAATTCATTGTTTTTTAATATTCCCTGATTGTTTGTGCGTAACAATTCTGTAATAAATTCTCCATTCTTCGTGTACTTTAGCTCGTGATAGAAACTTAATTTCAGAATATTAATGAATTTTGTGTTTGTTTACGTCCAGTATTAAGTGCGACTACCTCGCAAATCAAAGCAAATGATTCTTTATCAATGCTGATTTAGTTAAATAAAATTCTTTTGTATTAGTTTTGTTGTATCAATAGCCAGATGGCGAAGAATACTTGTAACACAAAAAATAACAAAAATAATAAATACATCAAAGTAACGGTTATTATTAGAACGAAAGTTAATATACACAAAGGTAGATAGAGTCAAGGGAGAAATGCTTCAAAATTCGCTGCATGCAAACCAATTTCTTACTAAATATATATCAATATAACTGTAATAATATTTCACTTCAGTTCATTTCTTTTAAAACGACAGAGGACAAGAGAAGAAACACGTAAGCAAACGTTCACCAATCAAAATATTAAATTAGTTATTATAAAGCATGACTGAGAGAAATGATTTTTGATTTGCATTTTTCAAAGTCCCTACACATATAATTAGCAGCTGACATGTACCAGAAGGACGATTTTTTAAACAAGGGGCCGAAATTTGACAATAAGTAGTCTCTGAGATCGCCACGGTGGTCTAGCGGTCAGAACACTAGCCTTGTAAGCCTGGGGTCCCGGGTTCAATTCCCGGTGGTGCTCAAATTTATAACTTGTGTTGGGCAAGGCCGTGGTCTAGGCATCACATATATATGAGCAGGTCCCTGACAACCTGAAGAGGTTGGAAGGATCCTGTTCATAATATATGGACCTGTCGTCAGACAGAACACTACAAAAAAAAAATAGTCTCTGAGAAACCAAGAAGGCAGTCAAGACGTAGAGGACAGAATTTAAAGCAGAGGTAAACTTGAACGAGGGACAGTGCATCAACGTGATGCCTCCTTTTTACAGACATCAGGGATACCCTCTGGCTTCAGAGGCACCAGATCTAACAAACACATAGCAGTCACTGTCGTCAGTCCACGCCGGAACGCAGATGACCACTCTGGCACAGCTGAGACTCTCACAGTCCGAATGACTTGTTTCTTTGTGATCTGAGAGCCAATAAAATTTCTTTTAGAAGCGTGCTAATTAATTGGCCTTGTTCAAGGAACAGAATTCTGAGGGCGACAATTGAAATATCGGCAATGAGGACATGCAAAGTATTTACAAATGCAGTCTCTCTGCATATCGAAGTGAATTTGAGGGTCATATTCTGTAGAGGTTTGATATGACATGACTGTCCAAGAAACTGAACGGGTTCAATACAGATGAACAGAGCAACGAAACACACACGTGAGCTCCATGTTTCTCGTCTTCTAATAGATAACACGAGTACAAGTTGAGTTAAAACAAGCGTTATCGTCCGCCTCGAAGGTCCAGTGGTTGCGGCACTAGTACAATGTACAAGAGATTCCGAGCTTTGTCCGAAACGTCACATTCTTCAAATGTGCCAAAGATGATGGACAATGATGATTCCTTTTTGCAGAAAATAGGGCCGATTTACTCAGTGGCGTGTTCACAGACCAGGTTGAAGTATTAAGTCGTGAGGCGAAGAGTTGTTCACTATTCTTTTGAAGGCAGAAATATTTTCAGCGAGAGTTAGAGCGAATATCCACACAGAAAATATTCTTGACACTTGGTCAGTTAATGAGGACACTCACTTCGTTGGAACTCAGCGGTAAGACGTCGTCATCAAGAACCATCTTCCACTGTACCCAGCTGCGTTATAGTCAATTTCAGGTAAAGATTTTTCCTTTCGTGCTACATATCAAGTCCATCTTGTCAGTCACTACGCTTGAAGCTACGTGGTTGTGAGATGAAAGTCTGATTGAGGTGCATAGTAAAATTTTTACGTCAAAGAAGCTTGCAGCAGTTGTCTGATTGTGATGGTTTATTTCGGTTTATGATGGAATAGCAGCTCAGAATTATGTCTGGCGGCGACTCGTGAGCACAGTGAGGAACTGTCTGTTGTTGTTTTTTGATAATGGAGCTTACTTTTAGGTTCTGAAGAACGATTCTGTGACACGTAGTTAGTTTTCAACCAAACGTGGCAAGATGATTTGAAAGTCGTATGGAGCGCGGACGAAAAATTATACATACGAGGTGCGATCGGAAAGTTTCTAGACTGCGCCTATAAAAACCCGTACACTTATCTCAGGTATTAAATTCATCCATCACCCTCGAAGTAGTTCCCCCGGGAGTGAACACAACGATCCCAGCGCCGCTGCCAAGCCTGGAAGCATCCCTGGAAATCTTTCTTTGTCAGCCTGTCAAGCACCATCTGCGATTCTGCCTGAATCTCATCTATCGTCTCAAATCTCCTTCCCTTTAGCCGAATTTTCATCTTTGGGAAGAGGAAACCTTAGAAAGGAAGTTGGGGTCGGTTCTTGCAAGATCTTTGAGCTCCTGACAAACGAGAAGTCAAGTCGATTCTGCTTCTGGTCCTCAGACAGGAGCCTTGGCACAAACTTGGCTGCGATACGTCGCATGTGGAGTTCTTCCTTTAGAATCAGCTGACAGGCCCCACATCATCGACAGAGGTTCGGTCATTTTTAAAACGTGAATGCCACACAAAAGTTTGTGCTTGACCCATTGCGGACTCCCCAAATGCTTGCTTTAGGATTTCATAGGTTTCCGTAGCCGTTTTGGCGAGTCTTTGGCAAAATTTGATGCACACGCCATTCCTGAAATCGCAGGAGGGTCGGTGTAATGCACTACCAAAACGCCCTTAACTAAGAAACAAATGCTAATTCGATGATGCCGGCTGGCACACTGATTCACTATGAATGTAGGCCGCACCCCCTAGCGGCAGAAGCTCGTACTACATCCGGTTCGCCCTCTTTTGACACAGTCTATAAACTTTCCGATCGCACCTCGTATATAATAATTCTGGGTAAATGTTTCTTGAAAAACGATGTTAATATGAAGTTTAGACAAAAATAGTTAGAATACGAGGTTATAAAGTCGAATGGATTTACCCAGGATACATGCAGTTAGAGTCTGCCAACAGAAGGCGTCTTCTTGATGAACTCGGCAGCAGATGTTACTAACTAGGTTCATTACTGAAATTCTTGTTTGGTTACGTTTAATATTAACTTTATCTTCTTATCTGCGTCTACAGGATGCACCAGTCACTGCGCAATATCATTTTCCTATGCCGCTTAAGCGCAGTCCATTTCACGTAATTGGAAAATAAGATTAATTTCTGTTTAACCCTCTCGACCTCGACCTCACTCTTCGAGGGCATTTATCTATCTTGTGCAGGACCGTAAAGTCCTCGACGGAATATTTACAGCAAAATGTCGAATCCATTCCTGTTTGTTCCGACAATTATGTGACTGCTGTGTTCACCTAGTGAGGACCTCGACGCCTCAGTTTCTGAATACGGCAATTGAGCGACACGAACTTCGATCTCCATGCTTGTAATGAACACATTTTGAGTTTAGTTTGATGCTACTGACGTACAACTTACATGTATTCCGTCATGGATGTCGGGTAGCTGCCGTCTGGCCATCGCATGTAGCAGACGATCCGTCTCTGATCGTTGGCGTATCTGCAACCACACAACACACAGTTCCGTCAGATTTTAACCTGTTCCAATTCACCACTGCAGCAAAGCTGATCGAACTGTAAGAAATACCATTCTCTTTCCTTTGAAATGTCGCTTTTAATATCCAAGGAAATTTTTATTCAATTGACTCTTCACCATCGACAAGAAATTTTAGATTTGAAAGAGAAAATATACTGCAGATAATGAGGAAGAAATTTTGACAAGAACCTGAAGGCGAAAGATAAATTTATCTTATGATAATTATAGGTAAGATATTAAAACTTGTATTGACTTGATTTTATCAAGATTCTCCCCCTAGGGTACATTGAAAATCACTGAGTTTGTTGTCATTTTGAAACAAAATGTCATTTTTCCGCAGTTTCAGCTAGTAGTAAATATACGTTAACTTAGAATGATTATTGTCAGTTGTGTTATCCCAGAATTTTTCTGTGTAAACGGAGAAATACAACGAAGATCCCCAGTCATAATGTCGGGTGGTCCTGCCTGTATTTTAATTGAATATCTGCAGAATTCGAGTAGAATGGAGTGAATGTGTATATCGCATGGCTGATACGTGATTTACTTCCAGTGAGCTGCTTAATTTACACAGGACTTGTGTCTGTTAAAAACAGAGTAGTATTGTCTGCTTTTATTTTATTTATTTAGTTTTCTGTCTGAGGACAGGTCCATATGACCAGGATCCTTCCATCCTTTTCTCGGCCTGGGACCTGTTCATATACGTTTTGGCAGATGATCCAGAAGTGGTTTGCCATTGCCTTCTTCTGTGTGTGGATGGAGTAATTGTTGGGATGCCACGGAGGAAAACTCCGTGTTGCCTAGACCACGGCCTTGCCCAACACAAGTTATAAATTCGGGCACCGCCGGGAATCGAACCCGAGGCCCCAGGATTACAAGGCCAGCGTTCTAACCGCTATACCACCGTGATCGTGAAACTGCCTGTCTCGGTAACTTCTTAATCCCTGCCATTTACAGAAATAAAATATCTGTAGCTATAAATAAATTTCCTTTATGAGAATAAAGGATTAATCATTTCAGCATGATCAGGTTACGAACTGCGAGTCACAAAATCTGACAGTAGTAGAAAGGATAATATTAAAATAGATTTTAAAGAAATACGGCTTAGGACACACCGGGGTCCAGTGGACGCTCTGAACATTCGGGTTCTGTAGGAAATTTCTGTAAGAAAGATTCCAGTTTGAGGAAGGCGTTGTTTGAACGACGAATCATTGTCACTTGGCAACTAACATTTGTTTCGTTTCATGTCGTAAGCATGACTACCAGTCGTTTATTAAAATTGCATATCGATTTGCTGCGCCGTGCTTGTGTGTCTCTGGAACAGAGCCCTGGGCGCATCGTATTCGATCTATACCTTGTGAACAACGCAGTGTCGGATCGCATTTCTCAGCTTTGAGGAACAAACCACAAAGAAGTAAATACTTCAAGCACGTAACGTGTCTTGGCACTGCACGATTAGCTCTTGCATTTTTGTTGAAACGTCCCAGAACATTTCTGGTCTCCGTAGAATCCTCATGATTCGATTGCAATTTCCAGAACGAGTTCTCAGTGACTGGACCGTACGAGAGGTGGCAGACTTTCTGCATGACACTTGTAATCCTGGGGTCCCGGGTTCGATTCCCGGCGGTGCCCGAATTTATAACTTGTGTTGGGCAAGGCCGTGGTCTAGGCAACACGGAGTTTTCCTCCGTGGCATCCCAACAATTACTCCATTCACACACAGAAGAAGGCAAGGGCAAACCACTTCTGGATCATCTGCCAAGAACATATATGAACAGGTCCCAGTCCGAGAAAAAGATGGAAGGATCCTGTTCATATGGACCTGTCATCAGACAGAACACTACAAATAAAAAAAAAAAACTGTGCATGTAGAACGCATCCTTTAGGTACAACTAAGATGGACGGAAGACATGTCAGATTAAAGAAACACGCAAGAGTTACAACACTGTTATAGAAATATATCGAACGAACAATATGACCTATAGAAGACACACTCCCATACGTAGGCATGTTACATCATTAGTAATTACTTAGGAAACACGCAATGCATTTATAAGTATCTAAAATTATGCGCTATACTGAAACCATGTTTATTACATAGATGCTATCTTCTGAGTTGTCGTTTTGTGTAGCCTGGTAGAAGTTTACCGACGTGTCAGAGATTTTTGCAGCCTCATTGCCTTGATGATGAAGGCAGAGAGTACCTCCGAAACGTCTATAAACGTCTTCTAGTCTACACGGCCGTACAACCCAGAAGATAGCCATGCAAACCTTAAATCCTACTGTGTTTATTACGTAATTAGATAAACACTTCCATAGAGCACAGGTATATTACTGACTATAAACGTAAATGCCAAGGGTAATATCTTCCGGTGAAGTACACACAATTTCCTGATGTCCGCTGCTAATTTTCTCATTGCGATATATTTATTTATTTAAGATTTATTTAACGGTACTGTCACTATCTCAGAATATATGTCATTGAATGATGGGATACATTAATGAATAATTAATTGGCAGTGTTATTTAATGACGGAGTCATGACCCGATTTTTTAAGTCATATCCCGGCATTTGCATGAACGCAGTTTTGATAATGATGAAATTTCTCAGTCAGGATAGCCGACATCTGGGTCATATTTGAACCCAGGACCTCCCGAATACGAAGTATGGTCGCTAATTACTTTACTGCGACTTTTAAATGTGATTGGAAATTCTAATTTTTTAAATTAAGACGTCACATAGTCGTTTTAGACCTTCGTAAGATGTGTTTTCAGAGTTTACGGAAAAGGTCGACTATTAAACTTTTCAGTTACTTGGTTCGAACATATATTTTGTAAGGATTCACTCCCTTGATGTCGTATGCAAGAAAGAAATTTAAAATTAGTATAAATGTCATGACTATACACTTCCAAACTCCTAAAATATCTGCATGAATTCAACTACATTATTTGTAAAGAAATTTTCTCATATATCTCATCATATGACTTCTTTCAATCAAAGCAACGTACTGAAATTCGAAGCATTTTTTCCGGTGAACAAGACGACAAAAATTAAATATTTAATTAAATGTCTGCATCGTAAAAAATATATGTAAGAAACTGCGACGAGATGTTGAACATAACTGAGAAACCCGTGGTTTCTTTTCAATAAAGTTATCTGCGTGGAGAAACTTAAAATTATTTCCTCAATCCATGGTCGATCTGGAAACTTGTGTGTATCCTTGGGTCCGGGAGGAGCTTGTACTATCGATCATCTGTGATGTCAAATTGTCCTCCATTTCCCACATGTACTATAATCGTTGCCAACAAGCACCTCTCATTCAGAATGACAGATGTGGTGTTAGCCTGTAACACCGTGTTACTGCCAAGTGCGTTCCTCTTCCTGTGAACGGCGCGTCCCTAATCGCATATCAACAGGATGGCCCACTTCATTTCTGTTCAGAAAATGACCACGATTTACATGCCAGCATTTGCAGACTGCAACGTTGATCGACCTATCGCTGTAGAGTGTCAAATGTTTGTTTCTCTTTTATGCGGGTCAGTGGACCACTGGATGAAGTGTTCACTTCCTGCTATCTTTGTACAATCTTTTCTTTTTTTTCAATATCTTACCAGCTGTTCCTTCTTTTGTTCATATCTTATATTACAGGGTATACACAAAAGAATGGTACGGTTTCAAAAGTTAATAAAAAAATTATTTCTCATCTGACGGTGTATATTGTGCCCGTGTAAGGTTAGAAATAATTTTTTTATTAACTTTAGAAACCGCACCATTCTTTTGTGTATACCCTGTACATTGCTGAACCATCTTCTTTTTGGTCATCCCATAGGGCTCTTTCCTTCAAACCTTGTTATTTCCGTTCTGTTTACATCTCAAATCATTTTCCCTTCTCCGTTTTAAAATCTATTATTACACATTTTCGACTTAATCCTGTTCTCTAAAATCTGATATAATCCTAACCTACGTGCGTAAAAGCGTGGATTGACCGTAGTGCATGAATTTGCCACCATCAGAAGTGTTGTAGTGTTAGGAAAGCGTGTTCTACACTAATCTCATTCTCTCCCCTGTCATTAGCTTAAAATGTCCAAGATTCCAGAATCTTGCTTTTACACGAACAATACATATGAATGTTAGATAGATTTCTATGTTTATTCATATGTATGTAGGCAGTATAATTCAATCCATGTATCATTTCCCTAATGCATTCGAACATACGCATGCAATGCTGTATGTTTAAAATCGGCTCAGCTGGTTTAATTCCTAGCTTGTGGAGGCTCACATCTGTCATGTTTGAGTCGCAAAATCCACGAGTCGAATCTATTCCAACGTGAGGGATTTTTTTTTTCATTGCTATGGGCGAGAGATTGTATGTATGTCTGATTCTAATAGAGGACACACATTACGACTATTTGTGGCATGCGTGCCATTAAGATTAAAGCCAGATTACAATTTTGATTTTGCTATCGTGTTTGAAGTTCCGTCTGCTTTATTCATTAACATCGAGGCTTACCCTAAGCCCCGTTCTCAGTGTGTACTTACATTTTAAATTTTCGAAAATGCTTTCTTCCAATGCCTGGTAGTTAACCTAACAGTAACTTCGGTTTTATGACTGGAAGTTTTGTCTTTCTGAAGAAGAGGTAAGCTTACCATTAAGAGTTTAGTATCTTTCTTCTCATTTAGTAATAAAAAGACCTGGTTTCAGGGCTGCATAGGGAGTCCAGATGGTGGTGTGAATAAAAAATCTCCATAAAATCTGCCCATAAATCAATTTTATTCATGGATCAATAACCGTGAAATGGTGTGGCTGTATAGAATTTATTATTCACACATTCCAAGTCACGTCAATGTCTCGCTAGCCACTGGCTGTTTCAGTACACCGCGGTCGAGGTGCGTA